TGTTAATTTTTCATAGAGGTCTAGTGATTTAAGTTTAAAATTACTTAAAATATAAAAAAATATAATATAAATGCATTTTATTTTTACAATAATGCCAAACCTTTAAAATGACTAGATTAACTTAAATAAATATCCATTGTTAGTATAAAATTGACGCCTTAGAAAAGCATGCGCCTCTGAAGCGTATGGTTATCTTTTACGTACGTTGTCATATGGTTATCTTTCTAGGGTTAAGCTTTTAGGCACGACGCGCCACTATAGTGGCTTGCTCTAGTAGCTCACTCGCTCATCGTTTGAACCAAATAATCGTCTTCGTATGCATTGTTTCACACTTCTTTTGTCTTCGCATCGATTTACAACAGTCTACAGGGTGTCCCAAAAATGTCTCGCAATCCGGAAATGGCGGGTTCCTCGGATCATTTGAAGCAACTTCTTCCTTTACAAAAATTTTCTCCGAGGCACCGTTAACGAGTTATTGACGAGAAACAGTGACCAATAAGAATCGAGTACGGCTGACGCGAGACGGCCCAGCCAACCAGCGCACGAAGCCCAGTTCCGCTCATTGGCTCGATCGTCTCGCGCCAGCCGAGCTCGCCTCTCATTGGTCACTGTTTTTCGTTAATAACTCGTTAACGGTGCCTCGGAGAAAATTCTTGTAAAGGAAAAAGTTGCTTCAAATGACCCGTCCAGAGAAATAGCCTCGCGCAGAATTCAGCCGTACCTAAAAGGTTAACGATGAAATAACACTTGAAAAGAATTAGAATTTAATCGAATTATAACTTGATTATAAACTATTTTTTGATCTGATCCTACACGATTTATTAACTTCTGTACATCGTTAAGGCCTCCAACATTCAATGTTCCGTCGGTTGCCAATTTTCCAAGCTGTTACCGCTGCATTATCACTTCGAAGCCGCTTCAAGGGATTCCCATCCGTCAGCAACCCTTGTGTAATACATAAAAAGGGGGAAGAACCTCCAGGAGCTTGCGAAACTACCTCCGAAGCTGTCGAAATCAATTCTTGAGAAACCAGAGAACTAATAATTTTCAATTTTGAAATTAATGCAATCCTTAATAATAATAAGCCGGACAAATGATTAATAACCAAATAATAATACAATCGTGGCTATACTAGAAACAAAGGAATTTATAAAACCGTCAATTTAAGGACTTTGTTCCGTTATAGTAGTCACGCATGTCTGACCGTCGTTAACCGTTCCTACTTATTCAAGGCGAGTTTATTAAACTGCCGAAGATTAACGAGTTTCTGTGACTTTATTTAATCAATTTATTTTCATTTATTTCATTTTATATATTTATGGACGGTCATGTTGTCTTTCGTGTGCATTAACAGCAACAGTGCAGAGACTATAATATAAGAATTGGAATACTATAAAAATTCATTAAACATTATACAAACGCTTTTCTGCACTATTGGAGCAACTAAAGACTGTAACATGAAGGAGCCACTTATATGACCTCGGTTTGCTTGTAACAGGCTACTTCCGGTGCAGGTTGTACATTTTGATGTACACATACGGTATGCATGACCCGCGTTCCACCTGAGCCCTGGAAGTTAAGACAAGTGCGAGATGCCTTGGCCCATAATCGATCACGTCCAAGGGCCGTTACCTCCGAATGCCCGACAACGTGCCGGTTTAAATATAATTCCGATCCCGTTGATCCATTTCCGTGGCGTAATGAACGCATTCGAGCGCATTCGTAATGTGTAGCTTACCGTTTCGAAACAAAGGACGTTCTTGATAATAGCAGTTATGTAATAAAGGGATTACCATCGCTGACGCGCGACCGGACATGGGACGGTCCGCGTTTTATCCTGTAGGAACGCTAGTTAAACTGTTCTAATCAACTTGAGCGACGTTCACGGCACGATGGATCGATCGCTCGCTCGCTCGCGTTCCGATTGAATATCGCCGGCGAATACGCCGCTGCATCGCCAAGGAAATACCGGCTCGAAATGATCCGGCGACGCACGAAAAATCAGGTTTCTCCAGAGATCGAACGATTTTTCAGCGGAATATTCGAGGGCCACTCGGAGCCAAAGGTTTTCTCGTCGGTCCGCGTGACACTTCGATCGCAGGAATCGCGAACGAATGAAAATAAAAGGAAAAAAGACGAACGTCTGCTTATTTCACAGAAAATTGGAAACTTCGCTCACGGTTCAGATATCTAATTAACCCTTAGCGCTCCGCGCGTTTCTCGAGTACTGCCTACCAGCAACTCCGGCACATTTTTGGAGCGGTGCGCCTGAGATAAAGGAAGACTTATTTTCAGCGGGAAAGATTACACGTCCTTGCGAATGCATTTGATTTGATTTATTTTATAAATATACATTTTCCTATTGTAAATAAAAGATAAATTTTAAATTCTGTAATTCACCATGGTGCGATATCTTTGGTAACAATCTCCCATGTGCATTCTGGGTTTGCTTGGACAAGCGTCACAGTATTCGCTTTGTCAAATAGAGTTACTAGATATCTCTTTCAAGTTTAGAACATTTTCTGCGTAATCGTTGGTTTCCTTTATAATTTCATTTGCCGATTCGTCCGTGAAAAATAATTTAAAATATTGTATCGGCTGTTCAATATTTGTAGGAACTTGTGGTCCAATGACCTGTGGCAATACACTAAAAGGGATTCTATCTGGAATATGTAATTCTTCCGTAACATCGCGCCATTCATCCGAGTCTTGTAACGAATCTTCGCTTTTACTTTCAATAATTCTCATTCCTCGTCTCTTTGGTAGTATAATTTCGTTACTGCTACTCGAAGTGTCAGAATCATAACCAACATTGTCTTCCACGATGTCTTTTAACTCTTCAAAATCAAGTACGTCTTCGGTATCACTCGGCTCTAAATTCTCATCGTAATATTTATTTTTCTCCATGTTGCTAACCACAGAAAAGGTCAAAAAATGGTTTAATCGTAATGGTACAGACTTAGCGCGTTTTAACTACGGATAACAATTGCTAACGCCGACGATAACGTATGCTAAAAATATTTGGCTCCGCAGCGGAACCTTCGGAGTTACAGAACAAATGACAAATGTCTCCGTAGCGGAGCCTTCGGAGCACTAAGGGTTAAAAATTGTTGGAAATCTGGTACCAAGCGTCGGCGCCGGTTCTGTTGTTCGACGTATTCTCCATCGAGAAATATTTTGTTGGTGTTCGATGGGAAGCGACTCGCGCGAACGAACGGCGCATAGATGGATTTCGGGAAAATAGGGTAATCAACTGCGACGGGAACGAAAAATAAACATAGAACGGGTATATCAGTGTCGATATCATCCAACAAGAAGCTACATAGCTAATTAATGGAATATCCATTCGATATCGATTTTGCTTGTTTTCCTGTCCGAACTAATAGCGCAGCTTTAATTAACCGACTAACGGTGTGTTGCAGTGCCAGATCACATCAGGCCACGTGTACACAGTTTACCGGAGAAAGCTTACAACCCGAGAGCCGGGGACGATCTTTATCGACTTCGTGCGTTCAGCATCACGCAGAAAGGGATCGTTAATCGCGGCGATTCGATTATTTCGAGGCGCAGCAGGAGCAACACTTCCGTCAACAGCAGCAGGTAATCGACTCGTGTCAAAAAAGTTCGGTCGATCTCGGTTGTAATTACCATATGTTCGCGCACACGTGAACACGGAATTCATAGTCGAACACCAATTACGACCCAGATCGAACGTAATTATCATTGAGCAGCGGGTACGTGGACCGGAGTTGACCGAAAAGCAATCTGATCAATGATTCACGATTATAACTCGTTAATTATAACTAATTCATAATTATTGGATTAAAAGTAATGTAATACATAATTAATGATCATAGCTCGTTAGTTATTATAAATTATTATAGATCGGTTATAAATTATTACAGATTAGTCGATTAATTATTGGAGCGTCAATCATTAATCGGATTACTTTTTACCCAACTCTGACGTAGACTCGATTTCTTGTTGCACACACAGTTGTTGCACAGTGGAATGCAATCCTAATCGTGATATCTGTAGGTACGTATATTCTGTGGCACAAAGTAAGAAAAAAATGTTATGTAAACATAGGTCATATAGAGCTTTATTATGAAGTAATAACAAAAATTCAGAATATAGGATTAATAATGCGCTCAATGAAATGAAAGAGAATAGAAACGAAATTCGCACGGTCATAAATTCGATCTTCGATCGATGTCAATCATGTATTGTCAACAACGGTAGACATTTCGAAATGTATTAATAAACACAGCTTACATAAACACACGGCATGTACTGATCTATTCAAGCCAATGCTCGCAGTAACAGCAAGTTGATTACTATTGCTATTCTGAATTTTTGTTATAACTTATTAATAAAGCTCTACATGACCTATGTTTACGTAATACAGTAGTATCTTCGACGTCCATTTTGTTCGACATGCTCTGCTATACTAACAAAATTGCTTCTGGTCATGGTCGCTGGTAACTGAACGATAGTGCGTATCGATTCTAATTGATTCCATTAAAACAATAACATAGTAAATCGATTATGCGTGCACAAAACCGGATTTACTTTAATAGCAACCTATTATTTTATCAATTAGTTGCGCCAATTAGTGCTTTAGGTAGAATGATTAGGTTTAGGTGCACAGGCAATCCCCTCTTAACACGGTTTTCCCATAACAAGATTTGAGGAACAGGATAGCTAAAATGTATTATATTATACGAGTGGGTTAGAATCATGGTTGCATTTTCCTTATTGCGAGAGGGAAGGAGTGTTATTGTTTACTAATATGGGTATCGTTTAATGACCAAAATCATTAAGTATATAGTAATTTTATAATATGTTCATAATATGTACATTTTGGGGCATGTATAGATTACATTTTAATATATAAATCAAAATTTTCGAGAATGTTATTTACTCTCACTATGATTCTAAAAATTTCCCGAAAATGTCTCGCAATCCGAGAGTGGCGGGTTCCTCGGGTCATTTGAAGCAACTTCTTCCTTTACAAAAATTTTCTCCGAGGCACCGTTAACGAGTTATTAACGAAAAACAGTGACCAATGAGAGGCGAGCTCGGCTGGCGCGAGGTGACCGAGCCAATGAGCGGAACTGGGCTTCGCGCGCTGGTTGGCTGGGCCGCCTCGCGTCAGCCGTACTCGATTCTTATTGGCCACTGTTTTTCGTTAATAACTCGTTAACGGTGCCTCGGAGAAAATTGTTGTAAAGGAAGAAGTTGCTTCAAACGATCCGAGGAACCCGCCATTTCCGGATTGCGAGACATTTTTGAGACAACCTGTATATCATTTTAATAAGAGGCCCTTTTGATTAATAACCTTTCTTCCTTTCGTTCTTTTTATTGATATATAATTACTCGACGAAAATGCTACAATTTGATTAATTTTTCAACCTTACACTTTGTGTTACCTACCTTCTGCTCGTAATACACATTTTTCGCCTCAAATACTAATCATCGAGCGATCACGGTGTTCGTTCCCAGAATTCTCGAATTGCCCCGAGATTTTATTTTCAACGATTCCGTAAACCCGGCTTGGCGTACGCTCCAACAACTTCTCAAAGCTTTCGAATTTCTCACAGACGAGATTCTCGTGTACGTTAATTGGCGCGGAGTCGAATCGTGGGCGGGTTCTCCTTTGAACAAAAGCAATTTGTGCAGCTGTCGCAGCGGCAAGCTCGATGCCTTATCCCCCGATCGAGACACGGCTCCAAAATAAACAATCCCTTCGGGGTCAGCGACTTTTCCCCCTTTGTCGATGAATCGACAGCAGATTAAATTTTTTCGATCCCGATTGTCATAAATTTTGATTTCCAGAATCAGTTCTCGCGGGATGTGTGCGAACATCGTTCCCAACGGTATGAACGATTCTTCTCCGTCAGAGGAGCGAAGAGTTATGGGTTCTCGCAACGAAAGTCGGAGAGAATCGAACAGAACGGGCGACCCTGTTGGACGGAATCCTGTTTTATTAGACAGTGGCTCGTGTCCAATTAAACGCCAGTAGTTTCTGAAACAATGAATGATATCAGTTTTATTTATTGATCGGACATCTTCCTGCAATCACGATCTTCGGCGTCGACTCTTTTAGAACGGGCTCTGTGCTATACGTGTATTTATTTCGGCGTCTTGTTTTACTCATCGCATTCGATTAATTTTCGTGCACCGTCGAAATGCTATTAATTAATCAGATCGATAGAAGTTACAGAAATTTCGAAAATTTCGAAAATTTAATGAAACCAAAATGTTTCATTTAACACGTTCCGTGCCACGTGTACCATCGATGGTACACGCTTGCATGTTTACTTAGTGAACTGAACAAATTGTTTACAAGAAATTTAGAACCGAAGAATCAATTTCCACCGCAAGAATGGGCGTTGATAAGTTTTTGTTACGTTGTTATGTGTACGAGAATTAATAATTGCACGTAATACATCAAGTTTTAGTCAAATATCAAAGTGTGAAGATTCGAGTAAAAAA